ACCAATTCTCAGTGATTGAGATTTGTAGCCATCAGGTACTTCTTCCTCCATTTGAAATGAAGAAGAGCCACCAAATCTTGATGTGCCTACTGAAGCTCTAGATTGTTCTTCACTTCTGATATCATTGGTGGCTTCATCTTGTCTCATACTGTTCCTAGGAGTATCTGAGTGACCAGATGCTACAGAGTTACGATCATGTATTGTATCCGTCTCATCATCATCTATGTAAGTGTCTATCATGGGTATATTAGATCTATCTGGTGATTCTGCTGCTGGACTAGTCACTCTATAGGTCTCTTGGTTGCGATCTGATGTAGACGATCTAGCACTTGCAGCACCATCAGACTGAATATCCCTGACTTGATGACGAAGACTTTCTCTGGACTGCATACTTGTAAAATGATTGAAGGTTGAATCAGCATCTCGTGCTCTAGTATTTTTGGCTTTTGGATTCTGGACAACTGAGTCTCCAAGTGAAGAGGTTAAAGACAATCCAAACTGATTGTGTAAATCAATATCATAGTCATCTTGTAAGAGAGAAGCATTTTGTTGGCTATGTCTACTTTGGTTAGAGCTACGAATATTTTGTCTTGGAGCTCCTGGTTCACTTTGTAAACTTAAGCTCTGCATTCTTCTTTCACTGCCATTGCTTATTCTGGATGCTTCACTTCTGAAATCAAATGAGCACCAAGAGAAATGAGAAAAGTTAAATGGATGCTTTTAATTTTGTTGGTAAGCTAATCAAGTTGGGATACCAAATGCACTTTCATGAATAAAGATCAGGATTGCTATAATCATGTAAAATGCAAGAATAACATTTCAGATTTTTGAGAAAGCACCCAGAAAACTGAGATAAATTGAATTGTTGTAGTTTTTAATCAATCATTAGAAAGACTAGACATGCAAGGACATATTTCAGTCTAAAAGCAAACTGGCATAATTTTAATTTTTAAGTTGTGAATATACTTCAAGAACTTCTGGTATTCTTCAAAGATTGTGAAATTGGAAAAGTTGTTGCATTAGAATCATGTAAGGAGTATGTTTTAGCTTCTCCACTGGTAGATATGGGAAGAATATATACCTTTTTACGGAAGCTGCTGGAGGTCTTTGATGTCCAATACCATTCGTTACGCGGTTTTGTTCTGGAGAAAACTCATGATCAGAAAAATCATTGGATACATCAGAATCCTCTTGACTGACTTGACTCTGTACTCGATGATGGATGGCATGTTGTTTCTCCATGATCTGACTGAGATAATTCCAAGCCCATTCTACCTTATACCAACTGCCAGACAATGTACAAATTTCTTGACCTTGAACTCCAGTTGATACTTGTAGTCCCCAATCTTTTAATGTCTTAATATATTCATTAGTTGTTAAAACAAATGTAGACAGACCTGGTTCAAGGTGGACATCAACACTCGAGAACACCTACAAACAATAATTCAGAAGTACTAGAATTGCACAAACAACACATTATTCCTTCAAATATACCTCAAACAAGAAACTGCACCTTTTATTTCCTTACATTCTTTAATATATATAGTCACAAGAAAAGATGAGTTATCTTTTTAACTTTCAAACGTGTATAATTCTGGACACACATGGATTGGAAGGCATAAATTTTGACAGTGAGATGTGAACACTTTTACTGATTAGGTTAGCTGAAAAATAAATCTCGTTTCTGAGACTAAGGTATGATTGGTTGAATAGAGGGTCCCATGATCATGATATGATATATTACAAAGTGGGGATTGAAAAAATATAACATATTTCTAATCAGATACCTTTGACCGAAATAATGATGTCAAATTGATTTTTAAACAAGCCAAACATCACACTTGCATGTAGCCAACCAATCAAACACATAACTCATGAATAATGAAAGTACATACCTCTCATATTTAAAGAGTTTTTTTGGACTTATAAAATTCATCATCTCATACGCACTTATCTGTTTGTTTGCATCTATTTGTTGAGAGGACGCGGTTTTAACTAAGGTGTAGCCTACAGGTGGTCAAATCATTGGGTAAACTGTAGCCTACCGTTATCAATCATATTTAAAAATTTAATCCTCTCTTGCAAATACTGCTTGTGCTACCATAAACCTGACTAAATTTCTGGCCAACAGTAATTGTACTCACTGTCAACTGAACCATTACTCTGTCCTTCTAATATAGTCTTTTATCAAAGTGAGATGTAGATGTAAATAACAAGACATGTAATAAACATGAAGTGAATCAAAGTTTAACGTTCTACTTTTCCACTCCTGATAAGGTTATTGAAGAAGGGCAATGCCACGCAGTGTGCAAAATGGAAAATTTTGGACCTTGACTGTATGTAGCACACTGCACATAAGTCTATTGTTGCATCTGCAACCTTAATCACTGACCTCAAAGTTAATGGGACCTCTCTGTAAAGATTGTAATTAAGATAATGTATACCTGATGTGGTAGAGGTGCAACTCGAAATGATCCCGCATTTTCTTCGGCTTTTTTTACCACAGCTGTTACAGCAGCTACAAAGTAAACAAATTATTTATTGATTGAAAAATATTGTAATGTATATATTTGTGACAATATTTCTTTATCGCTTTCCGGGGAATTGAGTTGTAAAGTTCATCTTTAAAGTGATACTATGCCTTAGAATTAACGAAAAATTTACAAATTTTAAACTTAGCGAATAGGAGCCAGTAGATATACCTGGTGTCATAAATAACATAACAGGATCCTCATTTAATCCGATAAATCCAAAAAACTTAGTAAGTATCCATAAATATGCAATCAACTATTGAAAAACACTTAATATCAAGATATTCAATAATTACTTAGTTTTATGAATTTTCCAATTTTCCAGATTTTACAGGGATCCTGTTATAACTTTAAGATACCAGGTAAGCTAACTGATGAATATATACTCATATTGAATATTTTGGCTTGAGAACTTAAATTTTATGTTCATTTTAGATGTAGTATCACTTAAAACTGTTGGTGTCAATGTACCATAAGAATGAAACTTACTTATTTCATTTTGATATATTATAACAGCATCATTATTGATGAGAGGATAGTAGATGGATTTTATTTCTCCACCACCATGAACAGGATCAGAAAAATATTTTCTTAACAATCTCTCACTAAGTTGTATAGGTATATTGGATATACGTATGCCATTCATGGTGCCTCTTCTACAAATGCAAAGATACAGATCAAATTTTCATATATTATATCTGTCCATGGCCAGTAAAAAGATAAGAAACTAACACACATTCTATTGGAATGATAAAACACAAAAAGGCAGTCAAGCAGAGCCATATACACACATTCCATATAGATTGATAAAAAAAATGATTGTTATTTGGATCTTTGATGATGTTAGCACTAAGCATTTAAATTCACAACAGTAATTATTTCCGTATAAGCAAAACAAAAATGATGGTTCCCATACAACAGACATTAAATTCATTTATATATCAAACTAAAATCCTGAATCATATCTGCAGTGTAAATATTAATCAGCCTCTGAATATAGAAAAACTTGCACATGGAAGACTGTACAAAGTTGTTCAAAAGTTTAGACTATTCTCTACCTATCAATCAATTTGAATTTAAATATAAAAATAAGTGTTATATCCTGTAAATAATCGGGTAAATGCCATGCTGTGTAAAATCAAATTTGGCTAAGACAAAGGTATTAAGCTACATCCTATAAAACTGAGAATTCACCACAATCATGTCATTTCACAAATGTTCATTTACAGTCAACTAACCTAATTTCGTGCTAACCTATTTTTCGTGCATATCCGGAAATGATAAATAATTTACATCGGTTACACATGAAATATGGGTCAAAGTGAGGGATTCATAAAGAAAACGAAACAAACCAATCTAAATTATTTTGTAGAATATCTGAGGAAACATCTAAGACATAAAAAAAAATTCTGATCTTTTAACTTTGACGAAATTTGGTGTTGAATCCTTATATGCACGAAAATAGGTTACACCACTGTATATCAAAATGTCATTAATAACTTCATAGAAATGTGAGACATGGTTAGCTTTCTTTTAAATTTGATCCCTTCATAAAAAAGTGGTCTGAGATGATTGTGTCTTTAAAAGTTGATAGGAGTTGAGTCTTAAAAATAGGTCTGGGTTATCCAAGTTGGCCTGATTCCACCTAATTTAAAGGTTAACTATTAAGACCCATAATAAAGGTTGCATTTTTTTTATATAGATTTGATACCAGTAGGCTACAGTTTACCCAATAGTTACTTTATAACTCATAATTTGATAACATGTGCATCTGTGTACAAGCAAAACATCTTATTATTTCAATGATAGCATAGGCCTATTTGTGCATTGGTGTAAATTCCAATGCACAAATAGCCCTATTATTGCTATCATCATTGAAAGGAATTCCTTCTTTCAGTTTCAATACACTGAATTACAAAATGTGATGTAGCCTGGAGAACTAATCTTGAAATCAAAGCAGCATTGGGGTAATATTTAGCACAAAGGTTAGTATAAACAATAATACCATGCAAATGAACTCCACATTTTAAATCATTGGAAAAGTTTATTTTGTTTACAAATTTAGGATATCCATCCTGATAGGCGGAAGAAGTGTCTGTCGCGAGATATTGAAACAATCAGGGGAAGTAAGAATAGATTTGTCCACCACAAATCTCAGTTGTAGCTTTTGTCGATTTTTAAGGAAATGGAAAATCAGAATTTTCAATAATTATATCCAGCACCTTTTAAAATAATTAATAAAGTTCCATTTTTTTCTTTTTTTTTTACAAATCTTCGTTTCATACTACACCATAATTATATTGCAAGTGTTTTTGAAGAGAGCTTGTATACATGGTAACTTCCGGTTTCTTTACCGAAGGAAATCGGGAAGTGAAATAACTCAATAAATATCAAGAAAATAATGTCCTTTACCTTTATCATCATATTGTTCAATAGCCTATGCCAATAAGATTTCTTTTGTTGTTAAAAATGGAATCTCCATTGAACACGGTTAGTTATCGATTTTCGTACTAATTTTGACAGTGCGCTGATGTCTGAGTAACCGTTCGTCAGATTACCAGATTGACGCCTGCGGATATTTTGCTATTTCTAGTCTGTCTTCACTCAATTAGGATAAGCAATTTTAATATGATATCGTGGGTGACCCCTTGAAACCTTGTATATGCCATATTTGGTCATTTTGACTTTTTGGTACTGTTTGAAAGCTCGTAAAAGCACAGATCTTTTGATCAAAACCGGGTATTCTTAGCTTGATTGTAAATAACTCAAAAACCAAAAATTAAATGACACGTACAGTGGTGTAACCCATTTTTGTGGATATAAGGATTCAACACCGAATTTCGTCAAAGTTAAAAAAACTTTTTTTATTATTTTTATATTATGTCTTAGATGTTTCCTCAGATATTCTACAAAATAATTAAAATTGGTTTATTTCGATTTTCTTTATGAATTCTTCACTTTGACCCATATTTCATGAGCAACCAACTCGGCAACGGCGTCACCTATTTTCGTGTACAATGTTTGAACTATAAATAAGTCTAGAAAAACACGTTGTATGGATACCGGGTGGTATAATTAACTTCTCTTAGTATTTATCTTTAATATCAATTCATTATAACTAGTGACAATTCCTTCAAAGAACCTTGATTTAAAAAAAAAATAGTGACTGACAAAATATGATATACGTAGCGTGATTTATTGCTTAAAGTCAATGAAACAACATAAGAATATGGTCCACTTTGTGTTCCATAGAAATTTTCTGCTGACTTGGAATCCGCTAGTTGATCACGTGACTTTATTTGTTGGACTACATTCTAGCAGACGACACTTGGAATTCCGATTACGGCTAGGAATTATAAGGAAATTCGGCTGATAAAAAATGGTGATGTTTGGTAATAACTGAAATCCGCCATTTTGTATTTGTCAAAGTATACATTAATACATTTAACCTTGCTTGAAACTATTGGATTCATTTATTATTATTATTTATTAAAACAAACTAATGCAGAGGTCGCGCAAGGTCGCTCATGTAAATTATTAATCCTTTCTGGAAATCCACGAATAATAGGTTTCCACGAAATTAGGTTACTCGACTGTATATAAACAGTCAGTTTAAAACCTCGTAATAATAAACGAGGTTCAGTGTTCCTTTTTCTGTGGATGAAAACAAAAATCCTTATACTGGTACTGTACTATTATATGAGTTATTTAGGCCGGAGTAATCAAATTGTTATACGAGGTTCACAGAATGAAAACCACGTATAGCTTTGAACATGATACGCGTATACAAATAGTTTATTGCGTTTTTCTCATATATAGTTATACGAGATTTCAAGCGGTCACCCACAATATATATTTTACAGTTCTATGCTGCCAGCACTAAACAATTTAAGGATTATATTTTAGGCGCATCAACATGCTCGAAAATCAGAGTTGTTGATTAAAAATGGTAAATATCCAGAAGCAATACAGTGTCACACTGAAGCTGCAGGTAATTTTTCTTATACCAAAACAGTCATTTCATTCATATTTTAATTATTGATCACAAATCAACATAGTGAGAGTTCGCATTGCAAAATGAGGGCCAAGTATGGGTTTTAGGCATTCAATGTTAAAAGTGCAAAATTGATTGATTAGACTAATTGAAACCATTGTGTTTTATATTTTCAGAGTGTATTCTGCAAGCTATGACGCTCACTGGTTCTAATCATGCTCTTGAATCATTAAAGCTACAGCATGGCTATCATTTGAAAAAAATTGATCAATTAGAAGAGCAATGTTTAAGAGAAGAAAGAAAGGAAAGTAAGAGATTATCCAAGGGAGGTGATAATATGGTAAATAAAGAAAGTCAAACTGATAATATTGAAGCCAGTATATTTGATGCAGTGGCTGATGAACCATCTTATGAATATGATAATGTTTATCAAACAATGACAGAAACAGATACTTTATTGAATTTTCTAGACAAGAGAAAAACATGCTTTGAAACAACATCTGGGATTCCAGCTAAAATACATTCTAAAGCTCCCATAAAATATATAAAACAACCAAAAGACAGTCAAACTATTATAGAAGAGCTGTCCATACATAATGATAATTTACGGGGTCACATTGAACAATTGTTGAATGAAATAGATTCATTGAAAGCTGAAAGAGATAACTTTCAGAAGATTGTGAATAATAAAACTGGACAAACACCTTTGACCAATGATCTTTATGAAAGACATTTTTCTCAAGAAGATTTTTATGATTTACCTCCTTTGGAGATGCCTACATTGGGGCCTGAATTTTATGATGATGCAAGTAAATCAGAAAATAGCACACGTGCAGCAGATTCTTTGACATGTAAAGATTAATAGTTTGATATTTGAAATAAAAAATCAAGCTGTACAGGTTGAATTATGATCTTACTGATCAGTTTAATTAGCTATAATCTTATGAGATGTGTGTTCATTTTTATATGGTTACATGAAATGGGGGGGCGTATATTGTTGTCACCCATGTCTATCTGTCGATCCGACCGTTCACAATTACTTTTAAAGACTCTAGAAGGCACAATTCTTGACTGACTTTGACTAAACTTGGTATGATTGTTTGTAATAACCCAAGGATGAACCCTATTGAAAATCAGAAAATCTAAAAATATTAAGTATGTGTTATTGCCCTTGTTCTTGAAATGTTCGGTAAGACTCTAGAAGGTGCAATTCTTGACAGATTTTGATAAAACTTCACCCAAGGATGAAGCCTATTGAAAATCAATAAATCAAAAATTATGAGTAATTGCCCTTGTTCTTGAAAACGTGTTAAAGTTTAGCATGTAAACGCTCTAGATGGTTCAATTATTGACAGATTCTGACGAAACTTGGTGTTAATGTTTGTTATCACCCAAGTATGAACCCTATTGAAAATCAGAAAAATTGAAAAATTTGTTGTATGAGTTATTGCCCTTGTTCTTGAAAACGCGTTCAATTTCCAGCCCATAAACAGAAGGCACAATTCTGGACCGATTTTGACGAACATTGGTAATATTTTACAGTATTGCCCCAAAAAGTTCAAAAGAAGCGCAAGACTGAAGGTTGAATATTTCATACTGGTGCCAAATATTTTTATTTAAAATCAAAGCTGCCAGTGGGCATGTATTACCTAGCCTGGCAAGCTATCTTATAATAATGGGAATTTAGAGTATTTAAATGGCAGCTTTATAATATATCATTCCTGCATATACTTCTAATTTGATATGTATAAGTATTGTTATTATTATAATCTGTTATATTTTCTATGGTTGTTAATTAATAAATTTCACTCTTACAAAGTTATGAAGTGGAATGAAAAGTTTAGAAAGATGATTAGAGAATATATTGCATCAAGTCCCAATTTAAAAAAAAAAAATCCCATGTATTCCCATGTATTTGTTGAAAACTGTATGATATTGGAACTCACAGGTCTTGGAAAGCAAATTATATTTATATTCCATTATAATCAGTTTTCATACATTTGAATATCTTTATCCATTACCTGCAAAATGATGCAATGAACAATCATTCACTTCAGTTTACTAGCTGATACTGATACAGTTCAAATTTCACCTGCAATTAGATTAAAATGGAGTGACTTCAGAGCATCTCTGTATTCAGAAGTACCGGTTTTGAGAAAAATAGATTTCTCATCATTTACAGCCACTACAGCAGTTGGTTTAAACTAATGAAGGTTTGTTACACTGAGCTGATTTGCAACTTTCTACTGAATCATTTGAGAAGATTTAATGTTACACTACAAAGGATTGTTTTAAATCTGCTTTTATTTATGAAGCAATAATTCAAATTATATCATAATAAATGAAATATAACAACAATTGCATGATATTTTGTCAGTGAAAACAAATTCTCTAATTCTTTTTAGATTTTTTTGGGGGGAAAAAACAGGATTCAGAAACCTATTCTTATAATTTTATATCAAATATTAACAGTGAATCCTTTTGTAAAAGAAACTTGTTTACCACTTAAAACCTAGAGGACGAAATATCAGTCTAATAAATCATAACAAATGTATATATGGATGAAAGCAAATTTAATTTGTTTAATCAGTCAAAGACAATGGTACACAATGTTTTAGAACCATCTTCTTTCAGATCACTTTGTGCCTCAAACAAAGCAGCAACAGCTGTATAAGTGGTTAGTCACACTACCATGAGAACAGCTTGACTGCTCTTGTTTAAATCCAGGATGTACATAAATGTCTTTGACAAAGTAAAATTGAATATGCTTGATAGGGTTCAGTTTGAGAACTTGTTAGTATGGGGAAGGGGAGACAACATAGCTAGATAGTTTAATTAATAGTGTAATTCACCGCAATGAAAAGAAACATCTAATTAGATTACACTAGATCCCTTAAGTGTTCAACTAATTCTCTATCACATAATACAAGTCTTTAAATCTTATGACACCCATCGAACAGGCTATATTAATAATCAGATCATTATTAATTTTGATATACTAATCATAATAGCTAAGCCATCAAACTATTATTCTGTTAATTTGTTGTGAAACCCAACTTTAAAGTTTGGCATCTTTATACTTATGTACAAATTTATAAATTGTGCTAATGCTATTTCTTCACTTATTTTTTAAAAAAAAATTTCAATGCCAAATATAATGGAGCTAGATAAGGTGTCAATAAAAAAAATTATTTAGAATTTTCCTGATGATTAATATTGATATCCCATGCAGCATAATTTTACAGCACACCTTTTTATTTTTTTTCTTTATTCACAATGAAGATGCAGAGTATCTTTTTTAGGTTGATCAGCAGGCCATCGACAAGTTGGACAAAAATGATTGTCTCGATTCAACCAGGAGAGGATACATTTCTCATGAAATGAATGTCCACATGGTAAACCACATAATGTAATTCCATTTTCATAATCATCAAGACAGATAACACACTGGGTATTAGGTAGATACCCAGGTGGAAATGATAAATTTAATTTGATATCTTCCATAAATTTTTCAGATTGCACAATTTCCTTTTCTGAAAACACTTCATCTTCTTTTAACATATCAAGATTTTCATTTTGTACTATTTCTTTCATTTCTGTTGGATTTTCATTGACACAGTGTACATTATTAATATGAAATTGCCAAGTTGGAAGTTGTTGAATGTACTCTAATGAGCCAGATGGTTGTAACCAAAGTGTTGAAGTGACCACACCAAAGCGATTTAGTCCGGATTCTAATCGTCCTATACTATCTGCTGGTCGAAACAGATGTTGTAATGTTCTCATCTGATTGAAATTCCACAGGTCTTCCTCTTCTTCACCATTATTTTCGTTTGTCACAACATCTTGTTTCATGTACTGAACTAATCCAATGAGAAAAGTATAGAGAAGAAATGATAGAGCCAAACAGCGACTATAAACAGTATAAAAAAAGATATCTTGTCGTAAAAGGCTAGCCAGAGAGGAAGTTGAAATTAAACGCACTATTTTCAAACCAAACATGGTTAACTTGTCCAAATTTGGTAATGAGAATATCCCAACTAATGGTAACCATGTCATTATTAACAAAACATTATATTTTAAAGCACACCATAGTAACTTTCTCAATCTTTTAAATAGAGTTCCCTGAACCTCAAAAAACTCAAACCAACTCATAACATTAACAATAACAAATGATAAAATAAATAAATCGTTGAGAGATGGATATAGACATTTTAAATATATTTCTAAACTTTCATATGTTAAATACTCTCCTCTTTTTAAGCCATAGACAAACTTATCTTCTGGTGTAATGATCAAATAATAAGGTAATGATCCATAAACCTTTGAGTTATTCCATAAAAAATGTTTAAATTCTTCATTTGATGATCGCATATCAACTTTTCCAAATTGTACACGACCAGGAAATTTCAAGCTAAGAGCAGAATAAAACATAGGCATGGTAAGTCCTTTCGAAAATAATATTGTGCGTATTTCTGGATTTAAAAAACTGTGTTTATATAACAGCCAATCAGACTTGAATTCCTTGAATCTTTTCACAGTATTTACTTTTTCATCAATTCTTTCATGAATCCATCTATTTATATTTGATTCTCGAGCAGGGCCATAATATGTATACATTTTAACAGATGCTTTTGTCTTGAAATCTTGAGGGACAGCCATCATGAGTCTTGGTGTACTAAATCCTTTCCTATGACAGTACCTGTAATATAATCATTAATTCATCATGGTAATTGCCATGTAACCAAATTGAACACAAAAATAAGCACTATCATGGACCAAGAGGATAGAAAATTATTTTTGTCTGATAAAAGAGCTCTATTTGAACTAAAATTGAGGCATACTGTAGAGATAAATCTAAGATAATTTTTTTCTGGGGTTTTTTTTATTTATAAAACAATAAATATAGCTTGCCAGGCAAGGTAACATACGCCCACAGATAGCTTTGATTGTAAGTATTATGAAATTCGATATATTTACCATCTTCATAATGACATTGACACACAAAATCAAAAGAATCTAAAAATGTAAAGAATTGTAGCTTGTAGAGTGAGCACAAATTGCACAATATAGCTAATAGAGTAAAAAGTCAAGTCAGACAGGATATTTCCGTGAAAAATTATCCGATCATCACGAAAATCAATAGGGATCATCTTCATAATAACATTGGCACACAAAATAAAAATCAAAAGAATCCGTAAAGAACTGTAGCCTGTAGAGTGAGCACGAGTTGCACAATATAGATAATAGAGTAAACGTCAAGTCAGACAGGAAATTTCCGTGAAAATTTATCTGATCAAAACGAAAATCAATAGGGATCATCTTCATAATAACATTGGCACACAAAATAAAAATCAAAAGAAATCGTAAAGAACTGTAGCCTGTAGAGTGAGCACAAATTGCACAATATAGCTAATAGAGTAAAACGTCAAGTCAGACACGATATTTCGGTGAAAAATTATCCGATCATCACGAAAATCGATAGGGATCATCTTCATAATGATATTGACACACAAAATAAAAATCAAAAGAATCCGTATAGAATTGTAGCCTGTAGAGTGAGCACGAGCCAAATGTGAACGGACGGACCGACCGACTGGGTGATTATAATATACGCCCATCTTTCGAGTGGGCGTATAAAAATCAAAAGAATCTGTAAAAAATTGTAGCCTGTAGAGTGAGCACGAGTTGCACAATATAGCTAATAGAGAAAAACGTCAAGTCAGACACGATATTTCGGTGAAAAATTATCCGATCATCACGAAAATCAATTTAGGGATCATCTTCATAATGACATTGACACACAAAATAAAAATCAAAAGAATCTGTAAAAAATTGTAGCCTGTAGAGTGTGCACGAGTTGCACAATATAACTAATAGAGAAAAGCGTCAAGTCAGACACGATATTTCGGTGAAAAATTATCCGATCATCACGAAAATCAATAGAAATCATCTTCATAACAACATTGACATACAAAATAAAAATCAAAAGAATCCATAAAGAACTGTAGCCTGTAGAGTGAGCATGAGCCAAATGTGAACAGACGGACGGACCGACGGGGTGATTACAATATACGCCCATCTTACGTGTGGGCGTATAAAAATGCATATGTATCCAAATCCATGTGAAAATGAACTCACTTGGGGTATTTGCCACAATCCATTATTCCTGCTCTTATACCAAATCTGGAAACTCTTTTTTTAATAGATTTCCATACTGTCTCTGATATAAATCTGTGGTTAAGAGTATCACCCCATATCACTGAGATAATCCACACACTGTCTTTAGCATCTTCAACTTGCTCGTAAAAATGTGCTCCTGACTCGAAAACTGTTTCTACACTGGTCTCTTCTTCCATTAAAGACATTTCAACTTCATCTTCCATAGCAGGCCCTTAAAAACATCAAATTGAAAAATTAAAAACTTGGCAAATTCTTCAAGCAATAAAGTTTAAGTTATATTTTTATTGCTCAAACACATCCAGTATCTCAGAAAATATAGTCCAATAAGCTTAAACTTAATTATTTCATTGACCTGTAAGCATTCATATGAAACAATTTTACAAGTTTAATCTTGATTTGACTAAGCATTGGATAAAGCTGATTACAAATTCTCACATATGACCAGAAAAAAAAAAAAAAAATAATCAATAAAACATAAATGTAAATAAATAGCATCAAGCCAATAAATTTATTAAGCTAATATGATTCATTTTAAATTTCTGTATATATTTCCAACTCCTTAAAGATGGGTTTCCTTATTTTTTTAGCGTCAAATTAAGCAAACTATATGACAAATTGGTGTTTTTAATGAATTATCATTCTTAAGCATATCTTTTATGTTCATATCACATATAATTGAATGCTCATATTAGTACAGTCTGGATAAACAAAAAACGGCTTTTTGACCTTTCTTGATCGGTCACTCATTGGAATTCTGCTGGTAATTCTCTTCTAATTTAGCTAATTATGAATTAATTATGGACATATGAGACAAACTGGTATTTTTCGAAGTCATTAAAACACCTCTATTTTCTTCTCATATTAGTATTTTCATTTTCATAAATGAAAATAGGGGAACCCATCTTTAAAACATTCTACAAAAAGTGCATGTGAAGGAATTTTAAGCAAAATAACTTTCATTGTTAATGATAATTCCATTTTGAGGTTAGAAGCTACAATAAGATATTATTGCAAGTAGATGATTAACACATGGGATCAAGTTTACCTGTAGATTCAACAAGTTGTGTCAGATCAGATTTCTCAACAACTCCATCATAGGTAACCCCTCTCTGATGTAACAAGGCTTTTAATTTCATCACTGACAGGGTCATTGGATCAAGAAGGCGTCTTGATAAAGAACCTGTTTCATACCATGTTACAGCCTCGATAAACCGAGCTATGATGAATAAAAATGTCACATAGATAAGCAGCAAACAAAGCTTCAACCACATGTTGTTATTTTGGTAGTAGCATAGATGAAATACAGACCCTCACACTTGAGCTGAACGTGTACAAAAGCAATAGACCATTTTATGTTTGTTTTGACAGTTACTTGCGTCGTGCGCACCATTCACTTCCGCTAAGTTTTACTGGACACGTCGATCAACTTCAAACAGTTTTACCTGTGTTAACACACAACAAAGGCATGACTGTTTACCATGAATAACCTGCAAGAATAAAAATCTACACTCCTAAACTTTTTCCCTTTTGCTTCCAGGAATTAATACCCAAAACCACAGCAAAACCCACGAAGGCCTCCCACAGCCTCTAGCGACTTCGTACTGTTAATAATACACAATGTCATGTCGATAGGTCATTCAAATAGCGCCATAATATTATCATTTCGGCTACCGTACATTTTTACTATTTGTCAAAATGATACAGCAACAACACTTAAAGGGAGAGTTTGCGCAAGCACTCGACAAGTAAAAATCAAGGACAGGAATATCAGTCTGTTAGCTGGCAGTTGTGACCTAGTCTTCAGAGCCGAAGCTGTCTACAATTGCTTGTCATGAGGTTTCTTCTGTAGAGCATGATTTGATGTAGCCGATGTACCCTATCAACATTTATCTTCGACGCACAGTATGTGATATAATAACTATCAATGACTACATGGTCAGTTCCAGATCGTTGACTGTTCTCACTTGCAGACATTCGGTTATCGGTGATCACTGCATGAGAATAAAATTCCAATTCTGAAAAGCGTTATTTATAGCGTAAATTGAGTTTTTTCAGCTTTTAATTAAAGAATGTTGAGACAATCATAGCATATTCCATTAATTAGACATGATATAGCCTTCCATATTCCGAAACGGTTTTCCTCTATCATGGGATCAAACAAGGAAGCTGTCGAGAATGCAATAATCATGCAACTCTACAGACATTTTTAGGATGGTCGAACTTCAGAATTCAATGAATCTTTTACCTCTCTACCAAAAAAAATTTCGGAGTTAAAAGAATTAAAGTGATTTTGAATGATTTGATCGGGGTTGGATCACTTTAATGCTGTTTGACAAGAGAAAGTAGATTTTAAAGCAAGTTGTTACGAATAAAGTAAATATCATTTTTAAAAAAAAAGTTATATGTTTCAAGCGGATTCGACTAGCAACAATTCAGATGATACCCAAAAGTAGCCTGAAAACCTCTTTACAATCGATTTCATAACACTTGAAATCGTTTTCTGCCGAAGCACACAATGTGCATCTGAAATCGCTTCCGCGTCCTTTAATATCGATCGATGTCATATATAATTCATCTTTTCTGTGCCTTTTACCGTCATTTGCGCTTGCTTGCTCCTTGTTTGCGCTTGTTTACATTTGTTTGCGCTTGTTTGCTCTTGTTTGCGCTTTTAAGTCGGACTGTCCTTTTTAGTTAAAATTTTCAGATAAATTAAGGGACACATTTTCTAGATTTTCGCATAGGCCTATAATTTACATAAATTTCAGCAAAAGAAAAAAATCCATCCCACGAAAAACATCTGACTACCCTTATTTGGAAGTTTTCGATTCTTCTAGGCAGTGTCTATTTACCACGATGACCCAAATAAGGAAACCTTAAAATTTGGAGCAAAAAATCTATTATAGCAAATAAATGGAATTCTTTTAAAGGCAATAGACCACAAAATTATATAGGATAGTTAGGGGGGGGGGGAGTCGGTATTATAGGAATCAGTGGAGACACTGGAGACAAGACAGCGGTGGAAATTTTGAAATAATCTGGTCAGATATAGAACTAACATGGTGTTGTATTCCATTCGAATCAATTGAATAATAATTTTATTATTTTGCTTAGCAAAAGAAAAATCTATTGAAGCCCGAGTGTGAAAGAATTCGGATTCGGAATGCCATACAATTTGAAATAAATAGGCTAGTTTCGTTTTATCTCCATTTCTATAGGCCTACAAGCGCTATAAAATTTCGAAATAGCCTATATATGATCATATTATATATTTCATATTGTGCATCTAATTTGATTCTAATCAATTTCTTGAAAATAGTGCTTCAATCACACTTAGTTTTTGTCCTAATCCAGTATATAAATTTTAAATATTTCCATATATAATTGAATTTTGATTTACTTTCCATGCCTGAAGAACATAAAACATATAATTGAGATATTAAGTGCGAATATAGTTTTTGGTAGCCTATGCCTAACAGTAGCCTAGCTCGACAAATCTGGCACTAGCCAGTTCCTTCGACGTGATATTCGGATGGGATATCGAACTGGGTTTTGGGTCAGACATATAATGTCGAATTTCATGGAATTTGCTCCAACACATTTTTGGGTCGATAGTTTTTGAGAATTGTCACCGTGACAAACGTGGTAGAACTTTGGGTGTCTATATATCAATTATACACTGCCGGATATTCTACAATGGCCCTCTGGTCCACCACGGTACCAAAATACAGTCGAGGGGTAGGCTTAACTTAAAGAGTTGTACATCGGATACGAAGCAGGGAAAACATACCCCTTTACTGTATTATGGTACTGCGTGGGGAACGGGGACATCCCAGAATGTTTGGCAATATTTTGATATTTTTCCCTCCTTTGTACAACTCTGTAAACAATAGGCCTACCGACAGATACTAATTAAAGGCTTTACTAATTTGCCACGCAAAATCCTCATGGTAAATGACCTTGTAATTGGCTCAGGACATAAAGTCTCTATATAACTCTTTCTGTCTGGACATGGCAAATAGCCCCAGCCATTCTTTTATGATCCAACACGATGTCTGTAACTCTTGTAAGTGATGTGTATTCCTAGGCTACCTGCAACAAAATTGTCGATTTGAAATATGTGTTAAGCATGCGAAAGCTCAGAGTTGTATTTAAGTTACACTTTAAATTAAAAATATCATAACATGATCAGATGACATCTACGACTGTCTCTTATGCAAATGGTGAGTATGATTTGTAAACCACGATTAGTAATGTCTAATGATTTTGACAGTATATATAACAATGTCTATGTCAGTATGGCCAAAATATGTATGATTATATGTGTTGTCGCTATGTTCCTAAGGCCTTACTACTGATTGTAACAATTGTATTTTATTTTAACAATTTTGCGGCGTGTCATATGACACAGATTCCTTTTGATCTTTTGGATATGATTATGAGGATACATCTTCTTGAATAGTCCAACATGATCCTTTAGTGGAGTTACGTCCCCTGCATTGTTAAAAGTGATAAGAATCATTCATGATGGTGATAAATGGTAATGAGAACATAGTTTCATAAAAAAAGCACTGGCCGAAAAAGTAAATGTTATAAAACAAGGTGCAAGCAGTGGCATTTCTATATATACTTGGTTAGTGGGCCGAGCAGGGTCCACAAAATTTCCAGGCCGCAATTCTTAAAATGATACCACATTATGTAAAATGATAAAACTTTTGGTGGAGGGAGGGAATAAGCTAGTCCAGTCTCTTTTCATGGGGGCTATATGGGGACTTCTGTTCCTTCAGCAATAGTAGGCCTATATCCTGTTTGTTGCGTTTAACGGTTGCTTTCACAGCACGATATTCTCGTCATTGAGAATTTTTCACCACCAATTAGATTACTTCAATCAAATCTTTTGCTGGCTAAATGTTTGAAAAACCAAGTGCAAACTTTTCAGTATCAAATTTATTAATTATTAATTAGGCCCTATTGATTAATTTTGATACGCCCACATGTAATGGGGGGCGTATATTGCTGTCACCTATGTCCGTCCGTCCGTCCATCCACAATTGCCCTTAAATACTCTACAAGGCACAATTCTTGACGGATTTAGATGAAACTTTGTATGAGTGTTAATAATCACCCAAGGATGAACTTAATCGGTAAACACTCTAGAAGATCTTGACAGATTTTGATGAAACTTGGTAATGTTATTCAGTATTGCCTCAAAAAGTTCAAAAGAAGTGTATGACTGAAGGTTGAATATTTCATACTCATAATTGTTACTGTACTGCCAAATATTTTTGTTTGAAATCAAAGCTGCCAGTGGGCATATATTACCTTGCATTGCAAGCTATCTTTTTCGAATTGAATTGAATTAGAGCACAAATGAAAAAAATTGCTTTCACTGCCTTACCATCTTTTTTATGCTAAACGATCTGACAAATCAAGTACTACAGTCAAAAGAGTTATGTCCCCTCCCATTTTGCTTTCATCAGAAAAAAGTCACACCTGAAAATTTCATTAAAAGATGGAAGTAACCTTTCTGTCACCTTTCACATTGATAAATTAACAAGAATGGGTTTATTGCAAAAGTGCGTCAGTCAGTCTGCAATTGCTCTTAAACACTCTAGAAGGCACAATTCTTGACAAATTTTGACGACACTTGGTGTCAGTGTTTGTAATCACCATGGATAAACCCAATCCAAAATCAAAAATATTGAAAAACATTTAATATGAGTTATTGCCCTTGTTCTTGAAAATGTGTTCAATTTTTAGTTTGAAAACACAAGGCACAATTCTCAAAGGCCTTAGATGAAACTTGGTGAAATTGTTTATTGAAATCGAAAAATATTTTATGTATTATTATTGACCTCATTCTTGAAAACACGTTCAATTGTTAGCTTGTAATTACTTAAATACTTGATTCTTGCTGAATTTTGAAAAAATTGGTAATATTGTTCAGTATCACCTCAAAAAGCTCAAAAGAAGTGTTTGATTGAAGGTTGAATATTTCATACTGATGATTGTTAATGTACTGTCAAATAGTTTTTATTGAAAATTAAAGCTGCCAGTGGGCTTATATTACCTTGCCTGGTAAGCTATCTTTTCTATAGCTGTTACAAGTTGCTGTCAACATGGGGATATTGATCTTCAAGATTCTGGAAGTTGCATTTAAGGGTATGAAAGGCATTAGCTGCAGGAGGGTTGTAGGTGGTTACAAGGGTATTATCTGGTTGAAGTGTTTGATATTTAGACCTTTTGAGTATACAATTTGAAGTTAGGCGATCCAAAAACTCGTGCACTGCAGTCTTGTTTGTTTTGACTTGACATTGGGCATAGATTTTGTCTTTTCTATTGGCATAATCAAGTTTTCAATGGAATAGTTAGGTGATTTGAAATTGGGCTATTTTTGGCATATATTGTAACAATAGCTGTTAGTTTGGTGACATAGTAATAAATGGACAGTCCAAATTGAAGTGGGATTTGTCTATTTTGCATCTCAATAATGCTATTTTTTCTGTGTGTTGTTATTTCACTCAAATTTATAAGATTATTTTAAATAGATGCAATCTAAAATGAAAAAACATTTATGAC